CCCCCCAATCCATGGACGGTTGAATCTATCGATAAAGAATCCATGGATATGGAAGGCTGAGTGTATGTAAAACCTCACCATCTGCAAATGAGAATTCCCACAGTATGCAAAACCCAGCCAGTCTGCAAACCCAAGCTCCTGCGCTGTCTAAATCTTCCTAGTCAGTACGTGAGCAATCTAGTTCTGTAAAATCTCAGCATTTGGCAAACAAGAGCTCCTGTTGCATGCAAAGCATTCCAGAATTTGTTTCACTGTAAAATCATCTGTAGTTTTCCAACTGGACTGGAAACTGAATATATTTCAGCTCTGAGGCTGACATCTGTCCTTTACCACATTTGAGGACAGAAGGCTAGCTGAGAGGAGGTAGGAGTTGTGCCACTTGAGGCAACAACCTAATTTTGTCTAATGGCTCCAAGAGGTTCAAACCACATGTTAAATGGTGTTGTTCTGAGTAGCCTTAAAAGTGCTTTTTAGCTCTCCTTGCATTGCGTTGTTGTTTGTTTGCCCATGTGAATGACAGTTTGCATCATTCTTAACTGTGGGAAAATTTGAAACGTACAAAGCTTCCATCGGAAAATGGATGGAGGGTTGTGCGGGAAGATGAATGTGCTACCTACTGTTCCCTCATTCTCTTTTTTTCCATTTTGTTCAGTTTGCAGCCAAGAAATGGAGAGCGTATTTTTCTGTCATCGAGAGCAGATAAATGCTGCGGTCCGGAAAGTTCAAGATATTTTGGTAAGGGGAAGAAAAATGGATTTCCATGTGTATTTTGTAGCCAGCCACCAGGCGGCAGGAGTCCTCTAACTATCTCTTTTCACACTCATGTTCATTTTCCTTTTTTGTTATTTAACATCATTGGGTTTTACAACATATCTGTATGTAATGCCTTTAAAACAATCCATACAAATAAATGGCCTGCTCCAGGGAGAATGGCCTTTTGGTTAAAGTAGTTTCTTCATCTTTATCAATTTCGTTGGTGCTATGGAGAACTTTGCAAAATTTAGTTGCCAAATATTAGGTAAAGTGTAAAACAGAAGGATAGTCTCTGCGGTAGGGATATAATTCTTTTCTTTTCATTCTTGGAAGGAAACAATGAATGATTAGAGCAATTTTCTTCCTTCTGAGAGAAAGTCTTTATATCTGTGTAGTGTTTAAAAAGTATATACACTTGAGGACTTATTCTGTGCAAAAATTCAAACTTTTTTTGAATAATATTTTCTATGCAGGAAACAGCATTTTCTGGGCAAAAATATAGTCTGGGTAGAAAATTATCCTGTAGAAAATGCTGCAGTTGGTTTAACAGTTCATTAGAAGTAGAAAGAGATTTTTATTATCATTTAAAGGAAGTTAAACTATAGTTTCAAGTACAGCCAAAGGCTTTGTGGAAGGAAGTCAATGTATATGTCTTTCTTTCTTTCCTTCTGTGTAGAGATATCTGTTAGTTTTCTTCTTTTTCTTTTTTCTTTGTTTGTCTTATATATGTAGAATAATCTCTGTGTTAATTTACATAATTCTCAATAAAAAAAGAAAATGTTGCAGTTCGATTTACTCTATGCAAAATTCATGCATGTTGTTTTTGCACACAAAACACCATTTCCTGTACATTTTCTGTTTTCTCTGCATAAAAATCATGAGCAAATTTTATGTAGATTAAGTACAGAGCTGGGAAGAATAGTTTGGTGAGGTATTCAGACTAATCTGACAGAGAGCTCTGGTGCCTTCCCAAATGACAAATTCCAGGATTCTGTAGCACATAGTCATGGCAGTTAAAGTGGTGTCAAACTACTTTAATTCTGCAGTGTGGGTGCACTCTTGGTCTACTTCCTCAGATGCATGAAGTTTTTGGGATTTTCCGAAAGTAAAAAGAAGTACATTTTGTTGATTTTCTGCCCAGGTTAATGTCACATTAATGCTGATGTCGTCTGAAAATCAATCCGCTTTTGCAGATTTTTTCCACTTTCTGTCTGGATTAATGTCAGACGTTGTCTAAAAATCAATCAGCTTTTGCGGGGTTTTTCCAGTTTAAATCCCGTTTTTGCACGGGATTCCTCCCATGTGATAAACTCCATAGTCATGTTTAAAAAATACAGTCGCCCTTCCGTTTTCGTGGGGGATCCATTCTGGACCCCCCTGCAAAACCGGAAACTCGTATCTATCAAGCCCCATTGGCTTGAATGGCCGCACGCTCTTGTGCACAGCCTTCTGCTCATGCCATGAGTGTGTGCACCATTTTAGCCAATGGGGCTCACCCCTCCATGAATAATCGAGTCTGCAGACTTCAAGTCCATGAAAACAGAGGGGCGACTATATATTTGAATGACCCCTGACTTCCAGTGACCTTTTGCTCTTTGCCAGTAGAGCTGTCCTCTTTCAATGTCCAAGATGTTTAGGGTCATCCAGAACAAATAAGAAACAAAAGAAATCAAGAAAAAGGATATCTTAATTGACATTTTGCACCACAAATACTGATGGTATCCTGATGTTAAAGTATGCTTTAGTCAACAAAAGCCATCTTAACGTCTTACTGCTTCCTAAAGCCTTTTACACACATATTACTTCTCCTCTTTCTTACAAGATGCAGAGGAAGAGTTCCCCCTTAAAGGAAACCTGGCTCCCCTCAGGTTCAGTATCAAAGAGAACCAGTTCAGCTCCTCTGAAATTGGAGAAGGTTGAAAACCAGCAACTGGTCACCGCATCCTCTGGATTAGAGGAGCGTTTCAGCACTTTGCGATTTGAAGACTCTCCATCCAGGCAAAATGGTAAGGATTAGAATTCTTCCTCCACTTACTGTTTTTGGGGAAGCAATAAGGATAACTTTAGTCCAAACCCTACCTAATTAAATGGGAACACTGCAAAAGAGGTCTGCTTCTTTTCTACTTATTAGTACAGAATCTCTTTGGCTGCATCCACACTGCAGAAATAATGCCATTTGATACCACTTTACCTGCACATGGCTCAGTGCTATGGACTCTTGGGATTTGTAATTTGTTGTGGCACCAGAGCTGTCTGACAGAGAAGGCTAACTCTCACAAAACTACAGATCCCAGAATTCCATAGCATTAAGCCATGGCAGTTAAAGCAGTGTCAAACTGCATTATTTCTGCAGTGCAGATGTAGCATTTGACATCTGGCAGATCTCATCTTCCTGTATGGACTGCCCAGGCCCTGAAATCCTTAGGATAGGGCAATCTCTCTGTCTCACCACCTTGACAGGCACTTCTGATGGGGATGGAAGACAGGGCCTTCTTGGCGGCTGCTCTAGGAAGGGGATTCCTAGGACCTTATCACACCCTGGCCACGAAGCGAAAAGTAACCA